AACACTCCGGTTTTTTCTGTGCCAGGAAGTTTTCTGACTTACCCTGGGCCATGTTCCTGATAGGCTGCGGTGTAGAGGCAGGAGTGGTTGGCAGCTTCCGCCTCCCTGTTCCTTCACTCAGGTGGAATGGCTCCAGAGCGAATTAATTGGGGCAGCAAGTACGTTGCCCGCTCACAGCTCGGGGCCGAAGTTTCAGGGGGAGGCTTTGCGTACAGCACTCTGCCGCTGAACTGAGTATTGCCCTGCGTGCGGGCCTGGTTATGGTTGATAGGGCGCAGAGGCTGACGCTGGGTCTTTGGGCCTCCGCGAGCAGTGACTTCACTGAGAGGTGCGGTGAGCCATATATTATTCAATTTTTATGACCCCCCCTTCTCTGTTGGTCAGGGGGTTGGTAATAGCCAGGCTCTGCTTTTGCAGGGGGATTAGGTGCCTCCCTAGCAGTTTGAAAGCAAGAAATTCCAAGTAGATAAATAGGTCCACTTCGGTGGGAAAGTACCAGCGTTCCGTGTGCCTTGGTATTTAGTCATGCCGGCCACATGGCCACGGAAATGTCTTCGGATAGCGCTGGCTCTTCGGCTTTAAAGCAGAGATGAGCACCGCAACCCTATGTCGGGTTTGGCTGGTTTTCGAGCAAGGGAACTTACCTTTAGGTTGCCCAGGGGGGCGGGTCTAGTCTGGCGGGGGAGCAAGCAGCCGCAGCATGTGCCGCTGGCATGGCATCCCCGCTTGGAATGTATGATTTGATGTCCTATCAGGTGACTTTACAACACCTCTTGATGATCTCGGCCTTATAGATCCCTATTGTTATGGTTTGCTTCTCTTGCTGGGCTGGACCCATCATGAAACACATTGTGTTGGATGGGAGTTTATTAAGTTTTAGCCTACCTTCATGAGGGAACAGATTTCCCCCTTTACTTGCACCCAAGTACACAACAAGATCCCCCTTTTATTTCACACGGGGGTTCCTTACACCATTGTGAAATGGGTGAGCGCAATGTACCATGTTATGGGTATGTGGCTGGTGGTAAATGTATGCACTTTTACCAGCCCTGGGGACGTTTGTTGAGCGTGCGTGAGAAAACACCCCAGAGTACATCTTGACGGGATTCTCCATTACTTCAGGCAAGGTACTTCAGGCAAGGTAGTTTTGCTCTTCATTTCCAACTTTCATTATTAGCGACAGCCCCTCATTGCCCTTGTTGGGCAGCCTATGTCCGCTGGATGAAGCGGCTGCGGGCGTGAGTTGGTAATCCCTTTCGGTTGGTTGGATTGGATATTGCCCTGGCTGTGGTTAACTACGTAAAGCAGCGCTGGTCTACATAATGTCCCAGAACCTTATTAAGATCTTGTAGGTAATTCCCCTGGATGCTAAGGGTGATAATTAAGGCATCTGGCTAGGGAAGTTAACGGAGTCGGGAGCTCAGTGCTGCGGTTAACCCATATTAGGAGCTGCAAGTGGGACACCTCCCGGACTTATTGGCGTACAGGAAGTTCCTTAACGGACCCTTTTCAGGAGCTGTTTTAGGCTAGGCGTTTGGGTGTTGGGGATACCTTTAACTATATCTGTGTCTCCCAGTTTTTCCTGAGGGGATGCATGCATTTGCTGGCATGGATGCCTATGCAACAGTCGGATACAAAGGCTGCAGGGGGGAACCTTCTGGTTGTCCCCCTCAACTGCAGCAGAATGGTAGTCAGTGAACCGTCAGAGGCCAGCAGAAAGCTAACAGTCACACCATAAATGGGAACAGGGGAAGGTGCTTCTCTGGCCCGACCACCGATTGGGTGAGCTGTGGGGAGTATCAGCCACTCACTGCTACCAAGACAACGGTGGACAGGTGGGCCAATCCTCTTGCTGCAAAGTTGGTGACTGGGTACCCTGTACCTTTCACTGCTAGCGGAAAAGGTGATTATGGCTACCTTGTAGCACCCTATATGATTTGGAACTTGCAAGGACATTGTTACCCTTGTCTTGATGTCAAGGTGGCAGGCCCAAGGAGATTTATGCAGGTAAAGGAAGTTTCATCAAGGATGGAGCGATCTTGGGGTGCAGGGAGGCCTTAGAGGGTCATATCCATGCACTATCCTTTATAGACCTTCATGGATGTCTATAGGGACTTGATTTATGATCGCCTAAGGCGTAGTGCTGCCTGGGAATCTGTGCTGCACTTATATGGAACAGACAGACTTCATGCAGCTGCAGCGATTTGAGGTGCAAAGACGGGAAAAGGTTCACCTCGTTGCAGCTCTGGCCGCCTTTGGTAGCAGGGTTTTGGGACAGCTGCTTTTCCTGGGCTAGGTGCGCCTTTGACCCTGTTAGGGGTTGTCCCGATATGGCGTCTCAACGCCAGCTGGCAGTCGGGCATTTGGCCCACTCCTGCTGCTTTGGAGCTGATTAGGGTAGCCTTGGGGTGCCCCAGCTGGATATTCGGCGGGAAGAGCTGCTTTACCTTCTGGTTCACCTGCGGCCCGGGTCAGGTAATTGACAGATGCCGAAATAACTTGTGGGGAATTGAATGTTCCCTGCCTCCCCCCTTTTCTTTTTCTCTTACAGGTTTGTGTTACTGGCAAAAGAGGAAGAAGGCCTATTATGTGGGCACAATTTGGCTGAGCTGCTCATCGCGCCTAGAGCATGCCCTGGGCTCAGTGAGCATTTGTCAGTGAGCCAAGGTGGAATGGCAGGCATGCCGGAGTCCGAGCTGGGCCTGCTACAGTTTTGTGTAGGGACAAGTTGTCCTCCCTAAAGTTCGGGCTGCTACTTGGGGTAGCACGTTGGCCTGATCGGGGGCTGGGTATACCCCATAGGCTCCGTCAAAGTCAGTAAACCTCTAGGATGTAAGGAGCGCAGCATCATATCCTCTCGCGAGGAAACAGATGGCAGAGAAAATGTTTGGCAATAAGCTAAACAAAAAGGGAGACAATGGATCCACATGAACTCGTCTATTGAACCACCACCGTTGGGTAAGAGTGAAGCTAACTCTGCCAACAGGAGTCTGAGGCAATTCACCCAGAGTTCTGCCTTATAAGTAATGTTTCATGTGAGTGTTCCTTATGATGTTTTTTTTTAAACAAACTGGAAAATACATTTGTAGTTTTTATTTGGGGGGGGGGGGGGGAACACAGGTCACCCAACCTTTGAAAGCTTGTGCTTAACACTGAAATCCATGAGTTCTAAATGTGTTTAACAACTGATCAATGCAGGACCACCAAAATAACTTAGCAGCAATATTAGATGAAGGAGACACAATCAGTTAATTGCAAAGTCTTATTACTCTCCTTTTGCCGTTGATTGATTTTAAGGTTGCAGAATGTAGCAGGAGAATTGCACCATCATAATAAGTGAATTGGTACTGAATAAATTGTAAATGTTGTTTTAGACAAAATCTCTCTAACAATTCTGATTCCTCGTTAATGAGATTTTTACCTTTGTTCTTTCAGCAGCAAACACAACCCAGCACTTGTGTCTGCCTCGTTATTCCGGCTTGGGGGGCAAAAAGATACACTAGGCAAGAGAGAGCTCCTCAGATCGATACACAGAGTGCAGAATCCCTGTGGAGGAACACAGAACTAATTAAATAGTTGTTCTAAACTGAATTTAGATTCCAACACTAGTCTGATTCCTTCACCTTCATTTGTTAAGCCCTCAGAGCAAAACCCTTACTAATAATACAGGTGAAGTCTCAAGAGATTTTTTTTTTCCCTTGGTGGGGGAAAAAACAACCCAAGGACCTCATAGATTATATATGGTAGTGATTTCTGATTCAAATGAAGGGATCAGTAAGGTGTGACTCCTTGGAAGTGTGTTTAACCCACCAATGAGAAAGACAGAACACATGGCTGTGACTTAGGAATTAACTAATCGTGTGCATGCAGACGTTTTCTCCTCTTCTAGTAAGTAAATTTTATTTATTATGCATGACGACCCCAAGAACACTGCTTTCATTATCCTGCTAAATTACACCCCAGGAAACATTAATTGCAGTTTGGAAAAAAAAATGGCAACCCTTGCCTTATGGCCTCTGTTCATTTTTATGAATTTTATGAAAGAGTGGACGGGCAGATTCTCAAGAATCACATTTGGTGACAGATGGGCTGAGATTTCCAGCTATTAAAATAGGGTTTTTTACTGTGATGTCTTCATTTTAATATGGCCATTTTGTTTAGAATATGAGTTGGATCTAATGGTTCTCCTCAGCTAAAGTAGAGATCTTTCCACTGGAGGAAGGAGTCTTTTTGTCAATGTAAAAAGCCTCATATAGAGGAAGGGAGAAAAAGGAGAGCAATCCAGAAAAGAGAAATCCTATGTAAGTTCTGCTCATTTTAACACAAATGTATCTTATGAGCAAGGAAACCAATCTGAAAATTATGGATTGGATCCTACTGGTGAAAATGGAGAAGAATCTCCTTTAACCATCTAGAAAGGCTGTATTGGATACAGAACGTGCACAGACAAAAGCTACATGAGGTGAGTGCTGTACTACAGAGGAAACGTTGTCAAGACTGAGTGAAAAGGCAGGCTTAACCAAGCCCTATGGCTCCATTCCACAGTACTGAATCCTGTGATTTCCTTTTTTCCTGCATCTTCCTCCAACAGAGAACAACTTCCTTCAACAAAGAAATACCTTTATTTCATTGGATGAACATTTTCTTCATTAGAAAAAAAAAATCATTCTCCATTGGGAATACTTTTTTGCCCTTGAAAGAAGTCTTTGCAGAACAAACTCATAAAATCAAGCCTATACTTGCAATTTTGATTAGGAAAAATGAGGGTGTATCCAGTCAGAGTCAAAGATGAAGGTATGTGCTTAACTCTACCCTTGAAATCAGCACATACAAAAGGGGTTTAATATTGGTTGAATCTTGTTGGGGTTTTGTTTTTTTAAATTACTGCAAAGATTTAAAATGTCACTCCAAAATTAGCCATGTAACTGGAACAATGGGTACATGACTGACTAACTTCAAGTCTTATTATTCTCTTTTTGCTTACTGCTTAAGTCTGTGGAATGGAGCAGGAGAATTATACCAGTAGAGTGAATGAATTTGTCCTCCTGGGTTTGTCCCAACATCCAGAGCACCAGCGCTTCCTATTTGTCATCTTTCTGTTCATCTACTTGGCTACATGGCTTGGAAATCTCACTATAATCATCACTGTGATCTGTGACTACCACCTTCACACCCCCATGTACTTTCTTTTGGCTAACTTGGCTTTGATGGAAGTCTCTGAATCTTCAATCACGGCACCCAAGTTGTTGCAAACTCTACTCTCCCAGCACAAAAGCATCTCCTACAACGGCTGCATTATTCAGATGTTTTGCATCCACTTCATTGGCGGTACTGTGATATTTTTTCTTGTGGCAATGGCAGCAGATCGGTACCTGGCTATTCATAAACCATTGCAATACATGACTATCATGAACTGGAACATGTGTTTGAAGGTAATGGTAATAGCTTGGACAGTTGCTTTCCTTCATGCCATTACTGTGATTTTAATGGTAATACAGTTACCCTTCTGTGGTCCCAACATACTTGACAATTTCTATTGTGATATCCCACAGGTTGTCCAGTTAGCCTGCACAGACACCTATATTGTTGAGCTGTTTATAATAAGCAACAGTGGACTGATTATTACAGGGGTCTTTACTGGATTGCTCATTTCATATACTATTATCTTGCTCAAGATAAGAAATCATCTCTTGGAAGGAAAGCAGAAAGCTGTTTCCACTTGTGCAGCACAAATCACAGTGGTGAGCTTGCACTTGATCTCATGTGCCTTTGTTTATGATCGGCCTTTGCAAAAATTTCCAGAAGTTAAATTTGTCTCTGTCATCTACACAGTGATTTCACCTGTGCTGAATCCAATCATCTATACTTTAAGAAACACAGAGATGAAAAATGCCATTAGGAGATTAGCAGGCAAAGTATTTTTCTCCCATAGGGGCTCAAAGATGCAACATATGTTGTCTGTTTGGGTATAGAAAATAATGATAATACGTATCATTTACAGTGAATTTCAGTCTTTTTCAAGCATTACTGGTAAATTTCTTTGTGATCAGTACCAGATCTCAGTAAAGCAAATCAGTATTATTATTTCCAGATTGCAGATACCGTTAGATAGGGATGCAGATACATGAGCTACAAGAAACTGGGTTTCTGATGGCAGCTTTGAGATCTGAGCTCAGAAATTCCTGATTCATAACTAGAGACATGCAAGGAAAAAAAATCTGTATTGTTTGGATTTTTCGGTCTTTGGACCCTTAACATTTTGGTATTGCCTTGAAAACACGAATTCCAGTATTGGTACTATATTGGAATTCAGGTAAAATTCAGGAAGTCCTGTTGGGTTTTGGCACTGCCACAGTGGCACTGGTCCTGCTGGGCACATTGCACTGGTTCTGCTGCTGGCCTTGCAAACATGCCCCCTCTCCAAACCTCATTTTCTACTGCAGAGACTCTCTGGGAGAATCTGCTGGGCTTGTATGCCTGCCTTGCTTCCCCCCTCCATTGGAAACAATGGAGCCTCTTTGGGTGTCCATAGAATTGTACCCCCTGGCTCAATATTTTTGAAACTTGGGGGTTCTTTTGGGGAGTGGCTCCAGCTAATACACTGCAAATGTGGTGCCTCTACCTCAAACCCCTTTTCTCCACCCCCAGCCTACTGAATATACCATAGGAGATTTGCAATTTATAATGGCCCCTTAGGGTATAATGGAGCTGAAAAATTCAGGATTTCTGAATTCTCTTATAGGTAAGCCAAGTCAGATCAGAGAAACTGATTTGACTTAACTAGTGCCTGAATCATGCAGAAAAAGCATGATTCAAGTATTATTTCAGCTTGGAAATGCTGCATGTACATCCCTATTAATATCTAAGTCTCTTAGCTGGTACATTACAGCAGCTCTTTGTTATCCAAGATTTTGTAAAGAAAAGAAAGAAAAGGATTTGTTTGCATGATCAGAATTCTCCTTACACTAATGTTACTCATTTGCCTTCAAACATTACATGTCTTTTTTTTCCTAACCCAATTCAGAATCAGAAACTGAGATAAGCAAATAGTGTACTCATGTATGTGCCTTGTGATACAAAAGATTAGGGTTTTATACCCCACTTAACTCTACCTTAAGCAGTCTCAAAGCAACTTACAATCACATGCCCTTTCTCTCCCCACAATGGGCACCTTGTGAAGTAGATGGGGCTGAGAGAGTCCTGAGAGAACTGTGACTGGCCCAGGGTCACCCAGCAGGCTTCATGTGGAGGAGTGAGGAATCAAACCAGGTTCTTTAGATTAGAGTCTGCCACTCTTAACCACTACAGTATGCTGGTGCTTTTGTTTTCAATGTATTTGTTTGTTTTCAATTATGTAAGCATTGGACAACTCCCATATATGCAGTAGTATCTGTCTAGTCTCATTTGTCCTCTGTACTCCAATGATATGTATCATGTGGACATGTGGCTAAAAACTGATGTGACTGAGAAACTAACGGAAAGTAAAGGAGAGTATTTGAAAGCCACATTCATATTTCACAAGTTTAGAGATTTTTTTAGAGGGAACATGAGAAATTTCAAAGGAACATGAGTTTCAGGTATGATCTCCATAATTTCTCAGTGGGATTTTATACAATCCTACTTCTTGTGAACTATGGTGCTGGAGAAGACTCTTGAGAGTCCCTTGGACTGCAAGAAGATCAAATCAGTCAATCCTAAAAGAAATCAACCCTGACTGTTCCCTGGAGGGCTAGATAATGAAACTGAAGCTCAAATACTTTGGCCACCAAATGAGAAGGGAGCACTCACTGGGGAAGACCCTGATGCTGGGAAAGATATAAGGTCAAAGAAGACGGGGACGGCAAAGGATGAGATGGCTAGACAGCGTCATCGATGCAACAAACATGAAATTGAGCAAACTTCAGAGGACGGTGACAGACAGGAGGGCCTGGCGGGAGCTGGTCCATGGGGTCGTGAAGAGTTGGACTCGACTGTGCGACTGAACAACAACAAAAACCCCCCACCAAAAAAAACAAAACATTAAACCACATGGTTAAACAAAGTATTCTGTAGGTGTCATCTACCTGTCATAGGCCCTGAATATTCTCCTGGAAATTTTGGGCAGTTTAAAAAGTACCCATATCGGGTCCAAAACTGGCAAAATTTAAAAATGAGTTTTTTCACTATATTCTCCTTAAAGCAATATTTTGAGATAAATCTGTAATTTGCAGTCCCAGCGTCTTGAGAAGGGGAGAGGGCAGTGAAGGCAAGGACTCCCTTTACAACTACCCACCAATAATACAATCACACACAGCATTTTGGACTAAATTTGGAATACAATGGCCACAACCTTTATTGGTTACAGCTGTAAAATGCCTTGGCACAGCATGGGTTCACTGGATCCTGGCTTTGACTGGCCTGCCTGCCAGTTAATGTAGCCTATCCCACCCAGACAGCCTGCTGGTGAGGCAGGTTTCTGGGAGTCCACAAGGATGGTCAAGACTAAGTGATCTCCCTTGCACCTGAGCATGATGGTAACCAGTTGGTAGCCCCCAAACTGGGCATGCCTCTTGAAGCCCTCAACCCAAGATCCCTTAAGGGGATCCCCATAGGCCAGGAAAATGACATGCAAGCCAATTTCCTAAAATGGATCTGGCCTCATGTTGATACCATCCTCCGATCATGACAGATAAATGAAGCAGAAAGCATTATGAACAGAAACATAACCCACACTTCCCTATAACATAACCCCCCAACGGGGCTACCTGCAAACCTGACAAAACGTCTTTTTTCAAACACCAACACATAGTGATGGATGGGTGAGGCAACTGATTCCACATGACCAGGTGAGGTGACCAGGCAGTGCAGCATGCTTTATACCCCATCTCCATGGAAACTCCCCCTCTCCTAAGCACACTTCAGGCCCCATCATAGCCCAGCCTAGGGAGGGGAGGGTGAAATTTTCCCTCCCTTGCCACCACCAGGCCTCCAAGCTGCCCGCAAGGCCTGTCTTACCTTGCAGGACATGGCCACCATGGCTGCCTGTCGCCCTGTTGGCTATCCCTATTGTGTGAGACTGCAAACAGTGAGTCAGGGTCCCCCCTTCCAGAACAAGTGAAATTTCTTGGGGGGGGGGGAGATTGTTGATATAACTGCTTGCACACTTTGCTAATCCAGTTTGTTTCCGGTTATATAAATTGGTTATTGGACAATTCCCCTATACACAGCAATTTCTACCCACTCTGACTCATCTTCTATGCTCCAATGATATCCATCACTTCTTTGATAGTTTGCTGGATAAATATTTAAGGTCCAATAATCAGTACTGATTGCTTTGCATGTTGTATTTATTGCATTGTTTTGCAAATTGTATTCACTTATTGGAAAAGGCTACTGTTTCTTTATGTTCTGACAAAGAGGATAACAGACAGAGGGGAACTGCAACAGAAGTCATAGAAAAGTGCTTGCTTCCATTGGAACATCCCATGGAAGGGAGGTGCAGAGTACACAAAATGACCTCGATGTTGGTGGGGAGTGGCCTTTTGGGGTGAGGGAATGGTGGGGGGAATCCGAGGGAAACTGTATGCTTTTGAATTACTGTCTGCTTGGAAGAGGAGCAAGGGGAAAATCATCACAAAACCACTTTCAGAAAAACCAGGGAAACAACAAATGGAAAACTACCGGGGAGCTGAAGGGACAAAACAATGCAGAACTAAAAAAAAAGAAAAGAACCGACAGACATGCAAGCTGAAATCAGTGGGAAATGCAGAACAAAAAAAGATACCACAATGGAGAAGCACTGTGAAAGTGAGGGAAACCACTAGTTCTTAAGTGACTAGTAAATCACAGTATGCACCCAATCCTCAAGCCCAAGGTATCCCAGAGAATCAGGAACTGTTTGTGAGGGTAAGACAGATAAGTGTTAACCTTGGTTTATGGTCATCTGCTCTGGCAGCATATCAACATGGTTACATGGGCTTTAAAATTCATTTTAATTTGGTGGTGATATATAGTGGAGTCCCAACGTGTTGTCTGTGAAGGCGATGGCACACACTGACACCTCTTCTGGGGCCCGCTGAGTGATTTTAGAAAGTGGAAAGGCGTCAGGTGGTTCTTTTGCCCAACAGAGCTTCTGATTGCCCACTGCAGATGAAATTCACTGTGCACATTTTTTTAAAAAAAAATATTGCGTTGGCAGCAGGTGCCACTGCAGGATTGTGTTGTTGAAGATACATGACTCCTGGGCCCAGGAAGCTGACAGACACCTGTGGGCAGGGGACACCTTGCCATCCATGGAAGGAAGCAGTCAGGTATGATCAACACAAGTGTTACTGTGTCAGGTGCAGAGGCAGCAGCATTTAAAGGCCAGGTCTGCTCTGAAGCTTCCTCTTCACCTCATACCTGGCCCACTCTCTCTCTTTGTAGGCAGTGTAAGGTTTTCCCAGGCCCCGGTCACACGGGCTGGAAAATGCAGGGGGGAAGTGTGGCTGTTTGCCCCAGAGCAAAATAACGCGCGGCTGCGCGATCAGATGTCCCGTCGAGGTCCCGTGGTTAGGGGGGAGGTGTCGATCACAGGACAATCCTGCTGCGCGGCAAAAAAGCGGCCTCTCTAGCAAAAGGCTCCACGGGTTTAACCCCTTCCAGGGCTGCAGAGGAATGCAAACTGTGTCCTCTGTCCGGTCCCCTCCAGGAGGAGCTTCAGCTGGGCCGTCCTCCCGCCACGCTGTGTTGTTTGTTTTTAAACAAAGTGTGCACATGCGCCGTTGGGTGCTTGTGCGCATCCCGTGGAGACTTGGAAAAAAAACTTTTAGCGACGGGACATGGGCGGGCGCTGGATGCCACATGTGTCGTTGGGTGCTTGTGTGCATCCCGTGGAGACTTGAAAAAAAGCTTTTAGTGACAGGACATGGGCAGGCGCCGGATGCCATGACCTACCACCGGAAACGCGATCAGACGCCCGCCCTTGCCCTGCAGTTTCCGGAAACTAGTACCT